TCTTATAAGTTGTAGAAAGAAAAATTGTCCTTTTTTCTATTCATACATTTATTTATCATTAATAAGGAATTCTACAAAAGAAATTCACTTGTAAATGAATAAGATTTGGTGTAAATTTTTAGCTTTTACTTCAGTCATGCTGGCTCATTTCTTTACGTTTTAACTTCATTCTATTTGGCACTAAAGAATTAGTCAAAGTGTATTAAACTAAATAGGTAATGAGCTAGCTATCCGTGGTTCATTAGGAGCTTTAGTATGAAGATATCGTTGAGGAGGATATGCAAGGATTTATATGATTTATTTCCTGAAGCAAAAAGAAATCAATCTAAAATTATTTGTCTTCCAATCGAAATTATTTGAGACCACTAGTTAGGTCTTCTGCTCTGTCTAAAATGGAAAAAAATCATAAAATTGCTTCAATGTTTGATGTTCCTCTTCCCCCCCCCCCAAATAGTTTCATCGTCAAAATAAGCGGATTGAAAAGTTTTCCTCAGAATTTAAATAAAATAATCGCTTTGTACATTAGGTGAATTGGACAACTGCAGAAAAATAAGAGGGGAAAGATAGAAATTGCGGCATAATGAATCAATAAGTGAGCATAAATCATGGTATGACAAATAGGATGATTCAAAGCACTCTTAGAGGGTTAACTTGTTTTGAGTTATGCTTATTAAAATGAGCAATCAATGCAAAATAACTGTCTGACATCTGAGACAGCGCAAAGATGTACTTTAATATGCAGTAAGCGACAGCTCTCTAAGTTTGCAAATAGTTAGTTCCTTTCGAGGTTGGATTCGACTGCAACTTTGTGAAAATGAAGATAGATCTTTAGGTTAAGGTTTTGGATTGGATTTCATATTCCAATTCTTCTATCTTGAGAACAAATTTATATGCTTCTAGTGGAGAAGGCAACACACTCATATTTAAAAGTCAAGATTTTCAAGCAGCATGGATCGTCGAAGCATATTCTCCACTTTTACTTTAGTACTCAAGGGTAAAATTTTTCACTCATATTAGTTTTGCCATATTGCATTGACCAGTCTAATGATTGAACTGGTTGAATCTTAAAGTCATTGACAATGATAAACTAATCAAATTATTCTTTTAACAGTAAGTTTCTTCAATATCTTTTCAAATACTTGGAAGCATGCATGACAACTAGACATTAAAATGTGCCATTAGATTGGCAATATCAAGGGTAATTCAGTGTCAAATAGCATATTTAACTATTTGCCATTTACTAACTAAATATTTAACCTAAACATAGATCCTATAAAATGTCCATTTCCTTGTATTATAAAGTGAATTCTCCACTCTTTCAAAAGAGTGCTTGATGATTTAAGCCTCTCACGAATTCGTGCCAGCTAAATCGTTGAAATATTTCGTGTATTGCTCCGAAAGCTAGTATTCTATTTTGTACTTCAATATTTGTTTCTCGCTTTTATATTTCTTGTTCTTTGAAAATAAACTATAAAATCTTGAAGAAGAAATTGAACTTTCTTAGTAGATGAGGAAGATAAATTATTTAGGATATAGACAAAAAAAACTATTGTTAAAGCTCTTAACAACTATGTATAGAATCAACTCTAACCTACAATCTGTTTTTAAGTTTTAGTTAAAATCATCAATACTATGATAGTTTTGTTAATTATAACAACTGTTATAATATGTACATTTACTAGAGACAGGAATACATTCCCTTCATTTAAGACCAGTTCCGAGGATATAGTAAGTTGCATGAAATCTAGTTCTGTCAAAATCCTCCCCCCCCCCCCCACAGCATTAGCAAATCTTCGAGGAGATTGTTACCAATAGAATCACTCAATTAAATATTATGAATGACTTCCTTTATTTTCTGAAACTAAAAAGTTAAAATAATAATTTTACGGTGTGCATAAGCCAAAGCATTATGCTAAGAACGGACAGAACATCAAACACAACGATTTTATTAACATTTGATTTTAAAGAGAAATTAATATTGACAACTAATCAACCCTCATTTGTATTACTCAGCGATTTTAGCTCCGAGACAAATGTAATGCTAAATTATAGTTAAGTTAAAAAATTTTAATTTGACAGGATTTAATCATAAACGGGTTATTGAAACCGTCTAGGTCTATTTCTCCAGAAGAGAAGGCAATTTACTGAATAATAAATTGATATTAAATGAAATTATCATAAAAATTGTGCCACATATGGAAAAGCAAGCTTTATTGAAAATTATTATACGGAGAGAAATTAATTAAATATTGAAAAGCACGAATAACGAAAATTCGCTGACCAATTCTAGTTATGACGCTATTTTCTTTCTCACTCTAATAGTTTTGTAAATAATGAAATTATTCTCAACAAATCATTATATTTTTTATTTATTTTATTCTCCGTTTTGATACAAATTTGGTTTATATAATTTTGCAAACACTGCGGCTTTCAGTGGTTGGTTAATCTTTTCGTCCAATCACATTTGGTCTTAAGCTCTATAATGACTTTTCAATAAGTCAATTATTACAATTTAAAACTCAATCTAATTAATGCACGTAAGTGGGAAGAATGAGTATATTCTATGTTGATTATTTAATTGCTAAACTTTTTAAACTCTTACACACGTATTTGTTAAAATACAGCAAATTTAATTTATTTTACGATGACTAGGAAATTCTTCAGATTTGTATAATTTTAAGATTGTACGACTATATTAGCTTCATATTACAAGCTAAGTAAAAATTTTAAAAAAATATTTAAGCAAAATTTCGAGTCATATTTATTCGGAGGAGATCATTTCAACAAAACATATGCAAATAGTAAAGGTTAGCTACCGTGTTTGCCGTTCAAAGTTTTTACGTTTTCATATTTCTGCAAACACACTGAATTGAATTAGATATTTCTTATAAATCTGACTTCTGCAGCTTGTACAGAGTCTAAAATGATTTACAGATGTTACGTCAAGATATTGAGAGCAGTATGTACTTAATCTAGCAAGATATTATACAGTTATGTAACGAAATTACAGTCCCTTTCAATACCTATCTCCATAAAACATCTTGGTTTATTAATCTATCTCTTAATACCCTGTCAAGTGAGCTTTTCTTTGCTGTCTCTAAATATAGCAATTTTCAATAGCGATAATCAAAAGAAAAAGGAAAATATTAATGTTTCTAGAAGTTAAAATTTGATTTTCACATAGCAATAAGTAGAGATAAATATTGATTTACCAAAAAACTGATTGTTTTATTAAACTAAACTCAAATTATTATTATTATTAATATTATGCTTTCGCTATTAAAAATCGATAAAATATATTACTTAACTAGTCATAATAATGGTAATAAAATGCTTTGAATTTAAAGAATGTCTTCCTCAAATTACAAACGGATCCTTCTAATTTTTCTTGCAACCTGCGTTATTTGCGCTCCTCAAATGGGTGAGTAACAATTTATCAGCGACTTTTATTCTTTTATTTAAACTTGCTTAGTGAACTACTCGAAAATGGCCATTATAAATGTGATATTTGTGATCTTTGAAAGGAGATTCTCAGTTTCAGTTAATACCTCGAGTACTTATTAATTGTTTTACTTAAATCAATTTTTACAGACTTGACCATTTTATCATTTCTTGTCTCAAATAAAACACTTTGCAAATTAAGTAACCTGAGATAGGTTTCGAACCATGCATTATACCTTGTAAGAGTAATTAACTTCAAAATGCAAGGAAAGTTAATTACTAATGACGAAAGCATTATTTAATGTATTTATTGAGAATAACTCTCGAAAGATATGATGCATACCTTTTCCTATGTCCTTGGCATTATCATACAAGATTAGCACTGACCTTCCACATATATAGTCAGAACATGTTTCTCAATGGTTAATATAAGACAATAAAATAAAACATGTTTGTTACTTTTCATTATGACAAAGGGCCACTGAGCCCAATCGCCTTGGATTTTGAGGTGAACTTCCAACTTGCTTCCAGGCAAATTTTTGTTAACCCCTCACCTTATTGCTAGGATTCAAGAACAAGCGTTAAACACTTAACTGATCAAATTTAATGATAAATCGATAACTTTAAAGAACTTAAGTTTATAATCTTAGTGGAACTATTGACCTTGAAAAATATTTGATCACTAATGGACACATATGCCGATTTCCTTGATTAAAAGTTAATTCACGAATTTTTAATTTTGATTTCCAAGCTGGTTTTAAGAAAGGTTTTTAGCTTATGTTTAATTTTTATTTGTATATTTTAATCTTCTTCCATTTGCCATAGATAACCCGGTAAGTCACTATTATGCATGTTAAATCATTTTAATAGCATTAAAATCACGTGTTTTGCTAAATTCCGGCATGCAATCGAATTTATCGCGCATTTAATTGAAATTGACTTGCATTGACTCTCCGTTATGCTCTGCGAGAGATAGGCAAACTCAAAATATATCAAATAAAATTCAGGTCCTACTCCAACACTTCGAATGAAGTATGAGATATTTAGTTTTTGAGAAAATATTGCGACTCGAAATTATTTTTCTGAAGCTTTTGAGGGAGAAGACACAATAGAAGGTAAAACAGAAAGAAATTAAAATATAATCAGCTTAAGACTTTAATTTTAAAGAATTTGAATAATCGATTTTGCCCTTGAAGGGTTAAATTTTTTCTCCCCTTTTATTTAATGTAAAATATAAAATCGGAATGGAAAGAATTTACAAAAAAGCATGTCACCTGGGTGGCTGCAAAATTGAAATGATTAATTTAGCCTTCTAAAAAATTCTATTTCAATTTCGTGAATAACTCTCAATGTTGAATAAAATTATCTTTTCCTGTGGAAGAATAAGCAAACATGGCTTATTTTGTGGGCTTATTGAATTACCGAAACGTCCAAATTTGTATAATCATTAATTCCGAAAGGTTCTGACTTGATTATTCTGATTATTTTTTTTCAAGCCATTTATTTGCACTTCTCATGTAACTTGAACTCTAATATATGTCTACTCCCTCCACATAAAGCCGTCGGATATTCCCCAGATATCCTGTCATAAATGCGACGATGAAATGTACGGTTGTCGAGATGAGGCTGTTACGACCGATGTCTGTCAACTCGGAACAAAGGCATGCATGGTAAGTCAGAATCCCTCCACAACTAAACGGTGTCAAATTTTCGAATTTTAAGCACTTATTAAATCCTTTTAAATAAATTGTTTAATTGTGTGTGCATCGGGAATCGACATGCTTAAAATCCATATTTACCTGGATGCAACATACCCATGTGATGAATGGGAAGTAAAATTGCCGGTAACTAACTAAAGGCAAAACAGATATTCTCATATTATGAAAAATTTCATTTTGAATCATAATCAAAAATAATGTCAACCACCTACACTTTTGCATCGCGAGGTGTTAGTTCTTCTGTACGTAAATCATACTTTTAATACTGAATTCATTAAATTCATTAAAAAGGATAGTTTTTTTGTTTGCATTTCATGCCGTTGATTTGAGCTTATAATTTATTTTTTGTCTCCTACATGTACAAGTTAAAACGGTATCAATTAAAAAATTAGAGATTCGTGTTCGCGGCTTGTACCTATTTCCCAAGTCTATTTCTTTATCTGTCTATTTTGGCTAGAAAATCTACTTCATTTTTCTGTTTAAATACTTTTTCATTTACAAGCAAAGACTTATTTTTAGCTCCATTCCCTGTGATGATCTAGTAGCTTGTCAATACCACTTTGTATTTCTTTTTCTGCATCTAAATTTTTGTACCTGCTCAATTGGGCAAGCTGCCTACCATATATATCTTTTCTCTCACTCTAATAAAACGGCGCTGGTAAATTGCATTCCATTGTTAGTTCAAATGTAAAGGTAATATCTGATACACGAAAATCATTTTATTGTTTACTCGAAAGTAAACTTAAATTATGAACAAAATAAATTCAAATAATGAAATTGTAAATACGCCGTGAAGGCCACCAATAAGTGCACTTGTACTGATTATCTATCTCAAGGTTAAAATATTTAATTACGACATATGTAAATATTCGAATAGGAAATTTAATCTTCAATTATCACACACTCGAAACATTGCCAATTTGTAGTAGCCCTTTAATGCCCTTACGACCGTACAATTCTCTTTCAAAATAAGCCCTACTGATACTAGACTCGTAACGGAAGGCGCTATTATCGTTTGAAACATGTTCCCTACGTCTATAGCCTTCTCCTGATACCACCAAAATTCATTACGTCGGCAGCATCAGTCTGCTGTGAGACACGCGTAAGTACAGTTGGGTGCGTTTTTTGAAAAATGGGTTAATCAATGGTATATTGTTGTGGCCCTTTAATTATAACTCACATTTAGTTCAGCGAATTCTTGCTCGAATAAACCTAATTAAGCCAACAAGTCATTTCATTAGAACGCATTCATCATTTTTAAATTACGCTAAATGAAAAGTTTTGACAAGAGATGTGTATTTAGGTGGCAAGTAGCAAGGTTGTTGGTATCAAGTGTGCATTTGTTTACAAGGTTTTTCCCACTGTAGCTTCGGCATGTGTTTTTGTAAGCCTAATGAAGCACAAGAGTTTATCACCTTCTTCAGAAACGATCGATATAATAACTCTGTTTGATCGTCTGTGTCAGGTTGTTTCAAGCGCTCTCCTGAAAAGTTGGAGATCACCTGTTCGGATTTCATTTTCTCCCCACCCCCAGTTGGTGGAGGAGCTAATTTCAATGATCAAGTTTAGCTTATACTGTGAATTGATTAAGAAGGCACAATTTTCTAAGTGACCTAAAACGATAGAGCGTTAATATTTACAAAGGTCGATGACTCGTAATCATTGTTCATTAGTACCCACCCAGTTACGTAAACAGGCACTATCACTGACTTATTCTGTTCAACATTGAGAGATTTTAAACTTTAAGCTCTTATCAAAACAGATCCTCCATAACTTCAAATTGTTATTGACATATTTCGTAATAGGGTAGAAGGGTTTGGTAATCCCAACAGAATGTTAGATGGTGTTGCAATCACCTTTCAGAGTCAACAACAACAGCAATCACAGCAGGTTTTATGAAATTACTGAAGTGTGTTGCAAACATTCTAGTTTATCTAAAAACTCGAACGACCCTATAATCTATCAAGTATTATTTGTGTGAAGCAAATCTTAATTCGTTAGATTCAGCAATCTTTGGACACAAAAATAAAACACATATTTTGAAGTTAGAAAATATGTATATTTATAATATAAAAAATTTCAATGGTCAATTCAATCTGAATAAGTAAAAGTTGTTACTTAATCTTGGTCATTTCCTTCCAATGAGAAAATTTTTCTTCGAATAATTTTTTTAAGAGAAGATGCCCATAATTTACCAAACAACTAGGATGTAACTCTGAATAGCAATTAAAATTTGTGTTATTGAATTGCCCCTTTGGGATTAGCAGGGTGTAGAGCGGATTTACATCCTACTGTCTATTACAAATATTTATTCATATCAAATGACAGGCTTTGTGATAGCTATTATTAGACCTTAAGCTGACTTCGGGATTCACAGAGAGGAGGAGGAACATCGAAGTCACAAAATGTTGAGAGTGGGAACAGAAGAGTGATTCGCAGATATAAATGAGAAAGACGGAAAGGGGAAGAGAAAGGAAATGGTAGATTATAACATTCAATCGGCTCATGGTGGTTTGAAGTCAACTGTCGGCTTATAGACTTTTTGCGGTGTGTGTATGCGCTGCCCAGGGTGCACCACGTGGAGGTAAGTCCATCGCACGCCTATCAATTACGAATGTCAAAAATAATGCTTATCAATTAACATCCATTGCCAATACCTGGATTTTTAACGAAGCCAAAACTATACCGACGAAAATTCATGCCGAGCTCCCTCCTCGTATTATTCCAAATTCACTGCACTCATTTCAGGAAACCTTGATTCATCCTCGTCTATAGTAGATGAATTAACTCAACAGAATGAATTTTGAAAGCGAATTGGCTCGTTCTAATTACAATTTGATCAAATCAAATCGTTGCTTTCCAAAATCTGCCAATTTTGTACCCAAAGCTTTTGAAAATTTATACATTATTACTCAAAATTTTAAACAATAATCACTTTTCATTAAAGTGAAAACCACAAATTTCACCACTAAAATGCAGTCAATTACAAAGAAAAAAAGAAGTGTTCTATGGGGAGGAGGGAATGGAAACCGACAAATTTAAAATTGTGATCACAAGTTGAAAAATTTCTGAGAAAATCTGATCTAAGTGGCAAAGTTTAGGGCATTAGCAATGTTTCATTATATTGTGTTTCTATTATATCTATGAGAATTTACTATTGTAAATTCCAAGAAATTGACCTATTGGCTCATTGAAATAATTGCATGCCACTTCAAATTAATATTTGTCAAATGTAAAGGTTTCATTTCAAAAAAATTATTATTTCCATTTATGATGAATTAAGCATCCTATTCAATGCATTTCAAATGTTGAGGCCTTTAGATATATTAAATTTAAATTTGTTGAAATCACGGTTCATTTTATTAGTTGAACGTTTATTGACTGGAACCACATTTTTTACTAAGTTAATATAGGATTTTAAATTGCTCTTTTACTTAACGCTTAGTGACAGCTGCATATCTAAATTCATTTACTTAGTTAATGCTGTTGACATTGTAAAAAATAACAATTGCTTGTAGCTAAAACCAGTTTACTTATTTATACGACTGAATTCCTCGCAAGGCGATAGAAATATTAAATTGCCAAGCGTTTTAAAATATATATATATATATATATATATGCATAGCCTGTCGCTACAACTGAACATAATTACAAATACAAATTCAATATTTATTAATTACATAAATTTAGTTGTCTTAAATAAATATTTATAAATGCATGAATTGGTATCTTACCTCCGCTCTCACTCCCACCTCACCCCGTTATTTTCGGATATCTCATTCTTTGATTGACTCCATCTCGTAAATATTATTCAACTATTTGCTTTGATGTCCTTGTCCAATTGCCATTTCATAGGAGAGGAGTATAAACAACACGTGCGTTTACGTTTTATTGGTTTGGCTGGCAAGTGGAACATAATTTTTTTAGCTGGGAAGGGGTCTATTTGTTTAACACGTTGCTATGTGATAGTCTGTTATGACTATTTATTAGAGGACCTAATATTTACATGTTGCTAGGGCCCTACTCATCACATTATTGTCGTAATAATTGCATTTATTCGACTAATGAAACATACTCTCTTAAATTGATTTGATCAACAATGGCCTTTTAAAATATGCTCATTATATTTTGTTTATTTTCGTGTAATATTTGTTTAGCACTCGAGAAAATGCTTGGACATTTTCTTAAGAGGATTAGTCATAGAATATTTCAATAGACCTTCCATCGCAGTTACTGGAGAAATAGATTTTCTAAATACTACAAATATATCCAAGCTAATTGACCTCATTTCATCCTATACTGTTTTGAAAATTAAAGAATTTATGGGATTTATTAATGATAGCTAAATTTAGTTAGAGCAAAGGATCTAAACCATGCGGACGTAAAACCTATCTGAAACTGGGGATACAGCTCCTTAAACTCCAATTCGAAAAGAAAAAATATGTCATTTAATAAAAATGTATTATAATAATGAATCCGTGGTTGAAGGGTTAAAATATTTTTCGTCATTTTTGGCATCAAAAGGTTTGGTTACTGTAGTAAGGTTAAATATTCAAGTCTCTTCAAAATTTTTTGTAATGCTTTGATTAACTCGGGAACAGCACAGATCTAAATGATAATTTCTTCACTCTTAACATTAATAAATAATTGAAAAAAGCAGATGCGTGCTCCTCAATATTTCAAAATTAGACCTTTCTTTAAGTGTTTAGTCTGGGTGCAGGAGAGAATAGATAGCACGAGATAGTCAGTAACTTTAAATGACAAACTTCGTAGTATTCATTGTGAATCTTCCTCCTTACCTAACGGCTCTGAAATTCAAATTATTTTAGCTTTAACAATGGCCACACATCCAAGAAGAGAGAAGGGAAGAATTATGTGAAACCTTTAAAGATAGACACCGACCCTCCAAATAGGTTCATTGTAAAAATATTCAAATTTGATAAATAACTAAAATAAATTTTAAATTTAACTTTAATTGAAAAAAAAATCATTTCCATTATCAAACGCTTTTAAGTGAGAAATCATTTTAATATATATATATATATATATATAATTTGAAATATAAGAAAATAATTTTGTAAGTATTTCATTATTTTTCTGTTGGCTTTGATACTGTCAGAAATGGACATATTCTCAAAACATTGAAAAATATTGCCAAGATCTATTATCAGACAATCTTTCACATTGATTTAACGACAGCATTCAATTATTTACCAGTCGTGAGTCAATCAAGAAATTCCTTAAATTGGTTCATTTTTAATAAAATTTACATTTATAACCCCCCTTCTAACCTTTTAGTTATTCGCACAATAGTGCTGTGTTTATCCGTTTAAGCAGCGATTGACACTGAGTGTAGATTTTAACGAATTCGATCATCTTCAAAGCCAATGCCGACAAATTCTCACACTTATTGATGACGTCTATTCGTAACGTTTTTTATGATATCAATAGTCCGGAAACGGGTTATTACTTAGCTCCTTATCTGACACTGTTTCTCCAAGCATAATGGAGCAATATAGGGGTGTTTATCTGATACCAAATAGCCTTAAGATGAGGCAAAATTTTAAATATTAATTAAGGTCTTAATGTACGCAATGCAAAATAGGCTTTTAAATAGAAATCTGCTACTCCATGCGTACTATCTTGTTTGATGAAATTAGAAATGTTGGGCATACAATAACATACATCTTAAATTTAACTGAATACAATCCGGTCCCCCAGTACTTACTTGTGGTTGTGAAAAATTTCTTCCACAACCCCATTATTGACTTACCAGGTAGCTATTTTATATAATCAATAATAAATTAAGACTAATGGTATTAAGTAAAGATATTTATTTAAAAGCTACACATGCTGACATTTTATCTTGCCAGTCCGTTTAATGACCAGACTCTCGTGTTAAAAGAAAATGCAAAAACGGCAAATTTTATGCCTGAAATTTTAACTCGATTGTGAAGATTATAATTTTAAGGTCAGTTTCGTAAACGAAATATGTACCCACTTTCAGCTCACGTCGCCTGTCTGTTTACAATAAAGTGCAAAAAGATAGATAAATAATGAAAGTACGATTTGGACCACCCTTTTTGCCGTTTAAAGTTATGCTTCACAATGTCCCCTGCCATCCATTTTAGATGCGATTTCATATCGCATATTTCTTTTGGGAAAATGTCAACTGTTTGTTCAATAATCTCAAATGCATAGATTTCTTGATTAGATTATGTTCTTCGAAATATAATAATGACGAGGAAAATAATTTTTGCCAATGCTTGCAATCAATGGTCATTAAACATCAACTAACAGCAAGGACTTTGTTTAATTAGCCTTTTATTGTATATTGTCACTCTTCGTCCAAATCTTGAAACAAAATCAATAGTTAATCAATACCGCATTTCTTGTAATAATGTAAACTAAATAAATGTGGTAAGCAGTAACTTCTGGTCCAAATACTTTCCATATGAGACCTTGACCTGTGCTAAGTAATTTTTCGATAGTGGCTATCAGTTTTCCTAAAATTTAACCCAAAAATGATAGACATACAATCATGGATTAATATTCTGTGCTATCTGAACCTTAGTATATTTAAGTATTGATAATTTGGGAATTTATTATATTTCATTTTATGAGTAACTATCGTTTTTACAATTTTGAGAGATTTGTGCATTATGAGCTATCAAAGATTTCTCCAAAAATTGTCAACGTATTTTTCCGAAGTCTCTTGATAAGAACCTATCAATTTATATTGATTTCTCTCCTATACACAGTGCAAATTTCACTTTAGAACAGAGTGAAGTTTACAAAATTTCGTAGAGAATTCTGCTTCAATGCACTGTTAGTAAGCATGACATTAGTAAGTTTGATTTATAAAACTACTTCAATTGACTCCCAAATCTATGGAAGGGCAGAGTTTGTGGGCTAGATTACATATATATATATATATATATATATATCTTGTAAGTGAAGCGAACTCTTTTTTCTTCGCCTTGAATCGGCCAGTTTTTTTCTCTACCTAATCGACCCCCCAGTACATGTGTTGAGAGCCACATCCTTTTATTATACTCAAAATAAAATGAAACGTGTCTCGCGACTGGGTAAGGTGAATCTTTTTCAGACAATTTTAATTACGTTCTACCTGTTCTACCAATTTTTCAAGCTGACTTTTATTCCTTCAAAATGGTAGAATTTTAGAGCTCGATCACTTATTCTTGGGTAGAAAAAACGACATTTTAATAAAAAGTAATCTCCTTTTCAAGAAATTTTGCTATTCTCCCTTTATTTACCATTTTTATTTTCAGATTGAAATTTTCTTTGTGCCAAATGGAACAAAGAAGTTTAATTTTCGATCGGGTTGTTCGACACGCAATAGTTGTCCATTGGGCTATACAAATCTGATGTGTACCGACTTTATTAATGGATTGAAGGTCAGTTTTCATATACTTGGCATAAATTTTTGTGATTACCATTCTTTATTTTATTATAAAAATTCATTAGGTTCAATTATACTTTTGCTTCCTTTAAATTAGAAAAGATAGAAAATTAATATATTGCTCGGTTCACTCTGAATACATAATAACCAAGCTGAACTTTGAGCTATTCCCGATTAGCATAACAGCAATCAAAATTACAAGAAAAATAAAACGTCTGCTAGCCGATCATGTATTTGGTTTTTTTTGCAAACATGTGGGATGAGTGAACTATCACCGAAAAGCAAATATTCAACAAATTAATAGAAGTTCTTGTTCAGTGAATGTCTGCTGCAAGGTTAATTTATAAAATGGTGGTTACGAAATCATCTACAATTATACCACCAGGAATTTTAATGTACTGATGACAAGAAAGAATTTTGAAACACATCATGAAAAAATAAAATGTACACAACCTGACGACTTTAGAATCTAGATCCTGTAACGTTTTGACTTGGACTTACTTCCGAGTTCTCTGGTGTAGTCGAAGTCGTTTATATCACCTCATATATTGGCACATTCTTCTTGATTAAAAATTATGAAATCTGCAATTTTAAAGCTGATAATAGTAATTTCTATTAGCAAAATAAACTAAGAGAGAAGTCACAATTCATGGTAATTTTTATTAGAGTTGTACGGTAAAGATGATGACCGGACTCAATGTATCAATACTTATTGGTCCATATTTAATGGCAAATTACAAAGCCACACAACGAAACGACGTCTGTGACATGGAATTCATTAATAGGCCTTGGTGACGCTGAATGTCTTCCAGTCGTCAGCTTAGATGGTTGGACTGGCAATCTGCCTTATAATATAATGCTTAAGTAGTCACTACGCTTTAATTGATTTCGTAGTGTTGTGGCCTTTTACTTCTCTATATTTCCAATTTATCTGGACTTCCATCAGATCTACTTGAAACTTTCGTAATGGTCTAAGACTAATTGACTAGCTTATTTGCTATTACTAACCCATCATAGTGGATTACTTGTTGTTTACAATAGACAAGGTACACTTAAATCGATTAATTGCACTAAAAGGTTGAATGTAAACAAATGCGTAAAAGTAATCCTTGCTTCAAAAGCTTCCATTCGCGTGCTTTATTAATCTGTTTACAAATACATTTGTATCGTTGCACTCTGCATTCAATAACACAGCGCAATCTTTTCAATTAATGAAATCCTTGTATTTTTTGTTTTCAGACGTGTCGTCTTTGTTGCTTTGGCAGTAAGTGCCATAATCCAGCACCAGCCTCAGAAACTCGCGTTAGTGTTATGAAAGACCTTCTTTCTAAAACCGGATTAGAATCGGAAGTAGTCGAAAATTACGTGGAACTGGAGAACGAAATTGCTTTCAACCGTGGGGTAGTAAGATTAACTACTAAAGCTCCCCCAACTGAGGCAGAATACGAAGAAGAGGAATTCACTACAGAAGAAGAAGACGCAACATCGTTGTCTGAGGATCGTCTTCCTCGAACTACTTTTCAATCTCCAACTGAAGAGATCGGAGAAGATGCATTTAGCTCAGAAACTGAAGATGATCCAACGCTTTCAGATAATGAATATAATGCCTCTAAATTTTCTACTTACAATGTTGACGAATCTTCAGATCCTGTCGAGGAAAGTGAAGAATCACCAATAGTTAAAGAAAACTATTCATTAGATTCCACAAAGGAGAATGTGCATGAAAAAACTGCTGATAAAGTTAGAATTGAAAAAGCAGAATACCTTCCAATCTTTGCGGAAGATAACGAAAAGGTTGGTAGACCTAGCAAAGAAAGAATGAAAGATGAAGATTCGGGTGAAACGTTAGTTGCTGTGAATTTTAAAAGACTAGGAAATTCAGCCATAAGAGAAGCATCAAGAATTTCTGCTCCTTTCGTCGCAATTTTCCTCCTTCTTGTGAGAATTTAACTATACAAGTAATGTGTAGCACCGGTATCCCTAAGTTCAGTCACTGTCCTTAAACTGTATTTTATTTTTGCTGACAAACTTGTGTTGAACTCTCCAATTGGCTTATTTATTTTGCTGTGCTTAAATGCCGAAATAAAATGATTGTTATACGACTCAAATTAGAGTGGACTGGGAAACGGGATCACTTCACACCCCAAATCATGATTCAGTATTAATGTTAACTTGTAAAATGAAAATGTGAGGTGTGAGAGGAGATTATCAAGAGTACGCTTTAATCAGCTTACGATTAGACTTCATTCAAGTTTAGATATTAATTGTACTTTGGTTGCAAACTCAATAATTTACTGCGGACATTGTCAATCTCTCGGCCTATTTATCAGTTATGCTTATTTATCATATGACACTGGTAACTTCCATCATTCTGACCTTAGAATTTGTATCCATAGCCATTTATCTATCGAGATCGAACGTCTCTGACACCGTAATATAGCAAATTAGAAATATTATTGAGTATAGATGTTTACCTCACGCATTCGCCCTTAGATTGAATAGCTCATCAAATCACCACTAGTAATTGAATATATCTTTGAAAGTAGGGGGGGGGATTGAAATGCTGCTGATCTGATGGCTTCGATCATGGAAGGGTTCTCTTACCTTGGACTTAGCTAATATCAATCAATCTAATTTTATCTCAAAATTTTCTTTACACGAATAATTACATTTCTGTGCAAATTACAAAAAGACAATCTACGGAGAAGACAGTCCACTTCTTATCGATTGTTATTTGTCTGTAATAGACAACATTGTGTTGTCACGGGTGACTTCCTTATCCCCAATTAATCTGATCAGTGTACGGGAGCATCATCATTCTGGTTAATGAAAGATAGTTTTTCACGGTAAAACTCTCTTCTATTTAAGCACGTCAACATAGAATGTTTAGTAAATATAAATTTGGGCTTTAAATTGTATAGGGACATGTTAGTTTCTAACTTTTACTGGTCATTACAAATTAGTTGAACTTATTATGCTATGTAGGCATTCATCTGGTCGATCCCTGAAAAAATGGCAACTTTATGGGTGAAATTTCAAGTTAAAGGGGTATTTTTTGCGCGCTAAGAAGACGTAAACAGTTATGGCCTATATTCAGGCGTCCGACATTAAAGTAGTCGGAATCAATAGATATGCCAGTTTTTTCAAGGAAATTTAACTTAAAATCTATTACTCTACACTTATTCATGATATTTTGTCTTAACCAATTTCAAATTCTTAAACTCGGTTATCGTCTCAAACAAAAATTTCACTAATTAATTACAGATTTCTCTATGAAAACGCATCATATCAAACACACGGCAGGGATAATATACTCCCCATGACTCACAAATTATTCCTTCCAAACAAAGAAAGTTGGTATTTATAATGTGGAGGCAATCGATCACATCGGTAGGCTTACATTATGGCAAAATTTAAATCTCAAGCTCTAGAGAGACCTCTAGTGTTGGAACTAAATGGCAATCATAATTACGTTTAAAAGGCATGATTTCAAATATTAAAAGCTTTGGAACCAATATTCTCTAGAACTCCCTCCAATGCTGAATCCAAAGGTCTCGTTTTCACCCTATCATTTATTTATTTTAAATGGCAGGTGATTCGATAGCAGTACATTTATTTATATCAAATGGCAGGCTTTATGGAAACAAAATTTATTTATTTATTTCAAATGGCAGGCGTTTTGAAAGTTATCATTAGCCCTTTAGTTGACTTCGGCTTCAACAGAAGGGAGGAGCATTGTTATCATTAGCCCTTTAGCTGACTTTGGGCTTCACAGAGTGAGGAACATGAAAGTGTCAAAAATTCGAGAGGGGGGACAGAATAATGATTCACAGATGTGAAGGAGACCGACAGGCACAAAGGCTAAGAAAAGGTAAGATTGGTACTGTGAAAGGGGTCGAATATGACATGCAGTGGGGTGATGGTAGTTTTAAGTCGGTTAATGGACTATTTTTCCGTGAGTATATGTTGCCCAGGGTGTGCCACGTGGAGGTAAGTCCTTCGCACACCTCATTTTCACTCTCATAAACACGTTTAGTGTTACCAAAGACCGAATAACTTATAGGGTAGTAAAATATAAAATTAAGTGTTATGAAAATTTCAGGTAGTGATTCAAAAGTGCGACACAAAATATGGATATATATCTTGGAGAATCAATTGAAAGTCGTAATCCGTGTAAACTATTTGAGTGATGGTGGCATGAAGCTTTGAAACGTAATGATTTAATTAAAGGGAGTCGATTTTACTTGATACGGAACTTTTCATTTTCCTGTAAACAAGTAGATGTTTTTCTCATCAATTCAAAATAATATGAAAATTTCTAAGAATTTTGCGTTTTTACTTAAACTAAATGGAATCAAGAGTGATTATGCACGCTACAAATGCCTTACTATTTTTTCTTTAAATTTTACTCTCCTTAACAGAAATCAAAATATCTCTTACTTTGAATTATAAGTAAGAAATTAGTGTATTGCCTCATTTATTTCTATTTAATCAAAAGCATTAACTTCTTATTAAATTAGGAGGTCATTTTGACATAATACTTTAATTTCATTCGAAAAAAACATCTGAGTACAAATTTAGAATAGACGTAAGTGCATTTTTGATTGATTATTTTAAACAACTTATTTAATTATATAAAGAAAAAAATAATTACTTCAATAATAAGATTAATATTTCATATTTATTTACCATCTGGCTTTCTTTCACACATTTTTGTTCAATTATTAATAACTATTTTGATAAAAAACAATAAACGGTACTGTAAGCCTACGAAATCATACTGCAGGTTCTCGTGATCAGTTGGCGATGTTTATCTGCTTCGTTTAATTGAACGAAGGAGGGAAAATGTGTCGACCATCCCCCCCCCCTTATTGCAACTTGCGTTGCCTTCGTTCCAAACTAACACCCCTTCCATCTTCCCTAATCTCCAATAGCCCATCCTATTCTTCTCTTCTGTGCTCATTTTCCTTAAATTTTATCTAACGCCGACCAGTCTGGTTCAGTTCTTGGTGTTTTCATTTTTGAAAACACTGTCATATCCTGTTAGTCTTTAGGACAATTTTCTGAGATAATAGTGCATATTTCAACGATTATTACTTGTCTGCGGTATGCAAAATTGTGTTATCGCATGCTATGATCTTGGTTCCAATCGATCTGATCATTGTACGGGTGCATCATATTATGGAGGGAAAGCAGTTTGTCTCGATAAAACTCCTTGATCAAGATAAATCAAAATTGTCCTTTTTCTTGCAAAACAACTTTAATGGTGTAATTTATTTCAAATTCTTTAATGTTTCAATAAGAGTGGGAAGTGGTAGTGGAATATCGCATTCCACATTTCTTGCTGATATAAAGGGATATTTCGTGGCTGAAAGCATTTTCCGCATAAATGCCTGTATCTGTGTCTGTTAACCAATTGAGAATCGTGTTTTGATAAAATCAAACGATTGATGAATCTGAAATTCATTGAGGTATATCGGAAAACATGACAGAATTTCAATTTTTCATTCAAAATACCATTGTTTTTCAATCGTCAATTGAGGCCTCCGCTACTTTAAAGAGTTATTTTTATTTTTTCGACAATAGTCATTAAATTTGAAATTATAAGCAGGGTCTTTGAAACAATGCCAAACTATTAATAAATATGAAATGTATACAAACTCTGCTATCATTTCAATTTCTTTTTGCTCTTTTCAATAATAGGTGTTTTGGTAAACTAGATCTAGTACTCACATAAACGAGGTCTTAAAGAAGGTTCGTGAGGTTGATTATTTAATGACTTAAATATTTCACAAATTAACTGATTAATGAAAAGAATGTAACTAGTATAGATAAAATATCTTTAGTAGTAAATGATCCAATAGTCTATGACTTCCACAAATAAGAATTCTCTAAGAAAAGGCAGAAATATTCTTGAAAATATTGGGTGAGCAACTAAGTCATTGCCGATTTCAAATAAGAAGGCAAATTCGGAATTTTTGTTTAAAAATATAACTTTATTCAATTAAATATTGGCCGTTCTTGTCGATGACCTTTTTTCCATCCTTCTGGCAGAGTAAAAATTCCCCGTTCGTAAAATGTCTGGTCTTTGCTATTAAAAAACTGAATTAGGTGTGATCAGACATCATCCGCGTTGTTACAAATTTTACCATTTAAAGAGTTTTGCATGGAACGAAACAAATGGTAATCCGAAGGCGCAAGGTCAGGGCTATATGGTGGGTGTGACAAAACAAAACAAAACATCCTAACCCAGTTCCAATAATTTTTGCCGAGTAACCAAAGATGTGTGGGGCCTTGCGTTATCATGATGGAGAACAACACCCTTCCGATTTGATAATGCCGGCGGCCGCTTATCTTCAATTGCATCCATCCTTCAGTTTTTCGAGTTGTTCAACATACACATTTGAATTTATCGTTTGGTTCTGCGGCATGAGTTCAAAATACAAAATTCCTTTGTGATCCCCCCACCAGACTGACAGCATAATCTTTTTTTGGTGAATCTCTGCTGCTTTTGATACTGTTTGGGCTGGTTGATATTGCTTCACCCATGATCTCTTGCAAGTAACATTGTTATAAACTATCGACTTTTCGCCGCCAGTAACAAGGTTCTTCAGAAATGGATCATTCTCATTGCGTTTCAGTAGCGAATCACAGATGCTACTGTGATCCGTTGCGTCAGATGAATTTCCTTTAACTGGTGAGGGATCCATAAATCAAGTTTCTTGACATAACCAAGGGTTTTTCATTTTTTTCAATGCATGTATGCGACACATTGAGCAGCTTCTCTGCAATATTTCGTGTTGTGCTGTGACGATTTGAATCGATAATGGCCTTGATATGGGTTTCATTCACTTCGACTGGGCGGCCAGATCGTTGTGAATTTTTCAGTGAAAAATCACCGGAACGAGATCTTTCAAACCAATTTCGACACTGCCTTTCTTTTAAGGCTTCATCTCCATATACGGCACATAACTTCTTTTGTGCTTGCGATGCGTTCTTGCCTTTTCGGAAGTAATACAATAAAATGTGTCGGAAGTGCACGTCCTGTTCTTCCATTTTTAAATTGGGATAAAAACAAAACTAAAGAACTAAACAAAAAAAATTTTTACTAATTAACCTAGAAGCCCATACAGTAAGAAAAAAATATAGGTTAGATGCTCTGGCCACGTCAACAAAACAAAAGAAAGTATAGAGTGAATCTGTCAACAAAACAGCAATGACTTAGTTGCCCACCCAATATAAGCAAAACAATCAGAATATGAAAATCACACAATTTAGATCAACTGTTGGGGCAAATTTTGGAGCCTTGAATTCAGTTTCTACTTCCCCTGCCATTAACCCCCAATTAACTGCTTTAATATTCTTTGTTATAAATTGATTTTACAAATTAATAACTTTTAATGCGTGGAGGCGAATAGCACTATTAATATTAACACAGGGGGAGATCGATTGGTGACTAATTCGTTGCTATCATTCGTCATACATATAGGGCATATAACTTATTTAAGATTTATAGCTAATAAATAGCAAATAATACTAATACCATTGAGGTTGCATTCTCGTGTCACTGATTCTAACACGAAACTTGATTTATCACTTCCTACTTTTATAGGTCTTTGTAAACAAATGTATTTTCACTCTTGTATTTGATTTACAGGTATTCAGTTTACTTCTTTCGTGGTCTGATTATCTGTTACTCTAGGATTATTTATGAAGGGACTAGATACCTCGCAGTGACAACAAAGCTGTTTTCAGTAGATACGCACTTGCGTGTGTGATATATCAACAACGAAAGATTAGTGATAAAATGCTTAGATAGCATATGGGGATTAAGTGAAGCACCCCTGCTAGAATGATTAATCAAAGCACAAACCAATTGTCCCAAAATGCGAGTAAGTAAACAGATTTAGGTAAAGGTTATTATTTGTTTTATCGACAAATTGAGTATCGGAATGGAAGAAGAATTTCACTTTGACTTAGTGATTTTAATAAATAGCTAAGAATCAGTGTAGTGTAAACACTAGTTGATATATTTTTGATTTATATTTTTTTTTCAATAAAATTCAATTTGCTATTTCCATTTTTTTCTTGTGTTTGGCGGATTTTATGCAACTTACACCTCCGTCTGGTCTCCTTGCAAAATAAATATGCGCGCATGAGATTTGAAATGAAAGAAAACTAGTTAGGTTCCCTACGTACAGTTTTTCATGCTTCAAAGGACATAGGAAGCTATTTACAGGATAAAATATAGCTTTTCTGACATTGTCTTTGGTTATTCTGCAATTAACTTCGGAGATACCAATCTTCATGCTGTCGTAATAAAGCTTAGAAACCGGTTAAGACATTGGTTTTATTGACAATATTTACTTCAATGCATGCAGCTTTGACATTTTTAGAACTAGAACCTTCTATTGCTATGCCATTTTTGTCCCTCGGTATAAAAGTTCATATGTCATCCGTTTTTGATATGTTATATGGGAGGACACATGACGTATTAGATGTCCATGGCACAGCAAATAAACTTCACGAAATTTCATAATAGCAGGGCATTAAAAACATTTAAATATTAATCAAGATTAAGATTATTATTATTATAGTTAAAGCATTAAATCTCCTTTAACAATTTGTAATTTGAAATCAGATTTCACCATTATACTTTGTTGGCATGGACCACAGCTCCAAGTGTTAAGGTTTCAATGTAAAAATTCCATTTTTTCCTTTTTATTTGGGTAAGTTTATGCTTCCTAACTTTATGAATTTTGGTGGTTGGTCAACAACTTCTAATACTATTCCATATGATATGCAAAATTAGAGAATTTAATCTTCTCAAAAAAGGCCTATTCTTTTGTGTAGCCTGGCTTTTATTTTCGAACTGAGCTTTACAAAAGTTCTTGATGTCAGAAAACACCAAAGAAATTTATGACAATGTAAAGCGGTATTCCAAAATTAAATTTTTTTTCTTTCACTCTAAAAGTCTACGATCTTTGTCCCCCCCTCCACAACCCCTTTGACAAAATTCATGGTACCTCCAACAAAAAAATACAAAGTCTCGCCAACATTGACTACCCTTTTAGAATATTACTTTTGACGTCTATACTTAGCCATGAAATCCACAGTGGAATCTCCATTTTTGTTCCCTTTCATCCGTTCGCAAGAATTTCTTACTACTTAATTCCACTCGGTAACTATTTCCTACCATTGAGGCCGTTGAAAAACATCCATTCAGCGTTATCTGATGTCATCGTTGGGTGTTATCTTTACTGGAGCACCTAAACTCCCTATGTAAACTCAAGTCATTTATTCAAATCTACGTTGTTAAACCAATGCTAGTATTTTAGTTCGTAAAATACCAATTTGCATTTTCTCAGACAGTTTCATACATTGCTCTCATTCATCATATCGTTCTGTGTTTGCGTTAATCTCGAGCGATGGGTCCTCAAATAGCATTAATAAATTAATTCAGTCCATCCGATCTTCCCTTCTGTTTTCAATTTTTATTAATGAACACGGCTAGTAAAATTCAAATAAAAAGACTCTCAACTATGATCCTCCAAACGGCTATAATAAAATGAGAACAAAGTAGACCAATCAGACAAACATGAAAGAATTGAGATGATTGGGTAAAGTAGGAGATATGGTTGTTGATTCTTTCTTGGTTGAATCAGTTTGGCCGTAATGAAAAATAGTCACTTCCACTCACTTTGTATCATCTGAATTCTTAACTGTTCTTGTCCTTTTCTATTTGTAGAGGATCGCTACTCGCATAAGCCTCGAATTATAATCAGTATTCTTCATGGTAGGAAACGCTCAGCACAGGGAAAACAAACTTTTGGAGGGAACACATGTTGGCTAAAGGATAAGTAATACTCCTCTCCTTCCAAAATGTTATAGATCGCATTGGATGCTTTCGTACAGCCATGTTAGCGCTGCGCTTCCCACAAATTCGCCCATCTCAAAAATCTTACGATTCTCATAGTAACTTGAATTATCAGTATAATTCCTCCAAATAAATACCGATCCAGATAAAAATTGCATTATTTTTCATTGCCTATTTCTCTGCATACTGAGCTAATTAGACGTTCATTGCCGAAAATAATAAGTGATAGTACACTAAAACTTGCTATCAAGCATTATGAAACGATGTTATTTACCCATCATTCAAATCCAAAAATTCATTTAATTTACTCAATTAATCAACCATAAATACAATTAGTTTGAGAACATATTCACTAAACTCACCTGTAAAGATATTATCATTCTGCTGCCTATAATTGTCAATCTTGCACCAACATTAAAATTCAGTGACATCTTTTCAGGGTAAGCATTGTTATCTATCTCTCGTAAAATGTATCAATTAAATGTCTGTTTTATTTAGAAAACTAAGAGGAACTTTTATGAGGCGCCCAGTTAGCTTCAATAAATTTTTTTATTATACACCATTGTAGCGCAAAATGCTGCATCCTGTGAGTGAGTTTATTTGTTAGAAGCGCAAAGCTTTATAAGATAGCTAAAGAAAGTTTATACAGTGTGGTCAAGATAAATGAGACGCATTTAATTGTGCATCAAAGCTCACGTTAAACACTTCTAACACTTGTTGTGAGCTATTCGCGGTTCAATGAGTTGTTTTCGTAATGTCCTACACTTAGTACTTCCGAATAAAACCGTTGCTGGTTTGCAGCTTTTTGCAATTAACAGCGATTTCCTCAAAACTGGCAACTCTCTAAATATTCGCATTTGATTGTTAGATTTAAGCAGGAATTTAAATTCAAAAGAAAGGAATTCTCAATAATGCATAGAAGAATCTAATCGAAAAGTACATACACCCTGTTATTAACAAAATAACTAATTTACTTGAGAGAAACACACAAAAGAATTCTTAAAGTATTCATCTTTCAATCAGTGTAAATAACATAGCATTTTAAACCAATTATAATTTTAAATATGATACGATTTGTGGTTAAAGAAAAACTTAAAATTTCAAGCGGAAAGCCGTATATAAGCTCGGTGAAATTCATAATGCATAATAGATTGTAATGAGTGAAACAACCTAAGAATTAATGACTAAACAATAACTAACTATTTTCAGAAATCTTTCAAGCTAATTTAACACATATATCGAATTAATACAATGCAATATTAGCACTTTTACAAAAATGAAATCGTTTGTTTTAACTCATAGATAATTTGTTGCAACTTTGGCCTTAGTGTAATCAGTACTTGTTTTGACACTTATAAGTGTACGACCTGTAAAAGTCAATAAATATTTTGAAATGAAACAATAATAAGCAATAATAAAAGGCATAATACATGTAACCTTGTTACCTTATATTTAATTAGATACAATTAAGTTCCCAAAAAATTTATAACACAATTAGCATTGGCCACTTCAATAAATACTTATTAATAATTTTTTTAAATAATAAAATATCTTACCACTAACTTATTTAATTAAATATGTGATTTAGATAAATCTGGCTGGGCTAATTATGCCGGTTATCTTCCCAGTTGAATACAGCAGTTTTCTTTCAAACGATTTTGGTGAAAGAAATAGGACATCAGATGACTTATATCATACACATTCAAACGAAGATATGAGCCTTTTAAACACACAGATGGCAAAATTTGATAAGACGAAGCTACTGCTCAATACAGTGGAATATCCGAACGGAAATGTACTCTGTCTAAATTACTAGAAATATAATGCTCGATACAAAGTCTCTAAAGAGATTTTTTAAATATAGGTTTACAGTGGAACCTTGTTGAATTTTGAAAAGCACGGATTTGGTGTATGGAAAACGAATTATTCAATCCACGTTGGTACATTTTGGAGAGGGCTACGCCAAGGATTTGGTATCGCTATATATTCAAATAATATGCTTTTTGTGGTACGAAATTTGGCTTTTCAAAAATCACATTACATTAGGGATTCTATGAAAATGATCAGAGAAATGGACTTGGAATAACAATATTTGAAGATAATAAAATTGATATTGGAATATGGAAAAGCAATAGACTTATTCGTGCTCACGTAACTAGTACTGTATCGATTGGTCGTAATCGAATTTCAAGGCACTTTTTCGAGAATTCATCCACTTTCAATATCCCATGGTTTTCCTTGGTGCGAAGGAATTTTTTATCCTCAAGTCTGAATGACAACGTATTTATTAAATTGTGTCTGTCTATATATATTAATCTTTTTAGTCTGCAACTAATAGGGCGAATAATTCTGATCTAAATGACCTGCTAACTCTAATTGAAGAAAATGAGTCGATGAAACTTTTTGAAACTAATGAAAATCCAAATTTGTAAGCAGTGTGACGTATCAACTAATTTTTATTTAGTCTTCAAGGGACGGATTTCATTATATATACCCTTGATTTCATTTCCCGAACCAATCTTCTTTCCAAAACCCGTTTCAGCGCAAAACATTTGCACGAAATTCTAAACAATGAACAAGTATCAAATGGGCCTATTTCTAGTGTTGTCAAGAGATTCTTTAAAGCAGCCGAAGATAATGACGTGTATTATATAAAAACCGTATTAAGAAACTCCCTTGAAACAATTTGCAAATTTACTATTAAGGAGCCAGCAGTGATGCGTTTCGATGTTAATCTGGCTAATCCACATGGTGTAACGGCTCTTCATCTTGCCTCGGTAAGGAATTTTAATTGGCTTATTTAAATTTTCAATCTTACATCCTATTAAGTACTTAGGAGTGTTTATTTAAAGTGTTATTCATGTCGTAAACATACATTTTTAAATACGCCTTTTCGAAGCATACGACTAAATGCTAAAAGTCTTGTTTCAGTAAGCCTTGAAATGACTAAATTTATTCCATAGAGGTAAAAACATTCAATTAACATAATCTATAATTTGGTTTATTACATACTTTAAATATCAGTAAGCCACTTTTCAAAAATATCAAAGCTGAATTAGTTTATTAAATTCATCGTGTTTATGGATAAAACCTCATACTCTATTTACATTTATTAAATTTATCGCATATTCCCTTTGATTAATATATTAAAATCCATTAAGGTAAATCAAAATACTGATGCAGTTCAGTTACTCCTGTCATTTGGAGCTGATCCAAATTGCGTTACATCTGATGGAACAACATGCCTAACGCATTGTGTCATGACTTATTTGGAAAGGAACTCGAATGATGTCTCTCAAGGAACTCATTTTATAGAACTGAAAGATGAAGACGGCAATTTGTCCCTTTGGAATAGAGCTGAACTTAAATGGTCCCTGAATTTCGATTTTCAAGAAAATTGCGAATTTACAGAAATAAGTGTTGAAATCAAGGAACAGGAAAATTCTGAAGACATTGAAGAAGGTAGACTAACATAAATGATCATTTTGATATCAATTAAAACAGCACGAGCCTTAAATTTTGTCCTTCTGCTGTTTAAATTATTAGAAGCATTTAATTTTATATCAGAAATATCATATATGTGCGAATAATTATCAATTTTTAGAAGGCTACATTGAGACTCAAATACCAGCTCAGTTTGAAATGTCAGAGTAAGTTTTTTGCGCAAATGGATATAATGATATATATTTCAGGAACTATTTGACTGAAATGGAAATTGACAAGAAAATTACAAATTTTAACAAATTTATGTCAAAAAATCAAGTAAGTCGTTTAACTTATACTGCCTAAAAATGTTTATAGAGTGTTTTTTATTTGCCATGAACCCTTACATTACACCACTAAAAGGCCATATAACATTTCATTTATCCGCACTCTCAACTATTTAGTTTGTTGGCGCTCTAACTACGAAAATTCATAAAGACAATCTGTCCAAAAACCACCGGAGTATATCGAGAACTCGAGTTGGAAAAACGGTTGCGGTAGAGGGAACACAATTGGATGCTGGAACATTTAAAAACAAAGCTAAAAGCATTAGGTAAATTCCTTTTCAATTTAATTAAGTCCATAAAATAATTTAATTGTTGCTAGTTTTGTGTGCGTTTTGGAGTAGCGTAAAACACAATAGCTCTTAGAATAGCCCAAACGGATAAATGATAGAATAAATGAGCTACTCTTCACGTTGGCAATAAAACTTTAAATAATTCCAATTAGATATTCGTCAGGTACTCGGGCGGTTTTATGGTAGGTTTAATGCCATATTTGAATCAGAATCTTACGCGAGAATTTGTTTAAATTTTCGATTACTTTTCTTTTGAAAAGCATTTAAAATTTGAAAAGGAACAAAGACGCTTAGTTTGAGGCATAATTGTAATGTATTTTGTTCAAATAGTCATATTCGTTCTCTATTATCTTATACATTATGCTTTTTGTCCGATAATGAGTTAATTTAAATATTCCAGTTTTGGTATTAAAATAAGCTAACTCTATACTTTACTGCCTTCATATATGGATTTGCTTGCTTTACTCTACTTAAAGTTTGTCGAAAATGGGAGAAAATTATTGGGTGTGTTTGCACAAATTAATATCCAGAAGTTTGGTCGTTGGGACCCCATTATCTGATTGTTTTAATTTTTACCAGCCGCAATAGGGGAGGAAATCTGTGATTTTAGTTATGGAATTCCTACCAAAACACACTTAGAACAAAATGAAAAACGAAGGTCTATTGGATATCGAAAACAGAGCCCATGCAACACTACTGTTATTTTAGGTGTATTAACTTTTTTAACTTAACTTTATATCTAAGGCTTAAATTCGAAACCCCAGGTTTCCCAACAAGGTCTGTTGGCCTTATTTATCTCTTATTTCCAGCTAGATAAATGAGGCTGTTTCTTTCAAATGCCAAAGGCAGCTCACATGATATTGACTAAGCCTAACTAGAAAACGGTGATAATTTAATATTGAATTTGTACTTTATGAGGTTTCGAGCTCGACTGAAGACGGTATTGTCGCTGCTTCAAGGAGGAGCAGACCCAAACATTCGATTCCAAAGATTGCCTCCATTAATAGCGGCTGTCAGGGCGGGAGATCTGGAATTAGTCAAATTATTGATTTACTTTAAAGCAGACGCAAATATCAAGACCCCTTCTAGGACTAGACATTCACATAAAAAGGTATGACTTTAAGCTCAAACAAATTATCTTTTAATTTTTGTGTGTGCTTCAGGCAGCATGTTTAAACAGGTTAGCAAAGTACTTAATTTGCTTCTTCAGTTAGTCAGGAAATAGTTAATAAAGAAAAGCTTTATACACAGATAAAAACTGCACCATAGTAACATATCTGAAGCAATGATTAAAATTTTTATTGTTTATTTATAAATAGATGATAATTAAATAGTTAGTCAAACTATTTGACCTAATGAAACTCTAAGACCCTGAGAATGGTTACAACGATAGTAAGAATGGAACTTTAAGTTCCAATTTTTTTAGTATTTAGCGCGGTTTATGTCTCTATATCTTTTCAATTGCTTGGATCATCAGTATTTGCAGATTAAGCTTCTAACAATAGCATAATATTGTGATTTAGTTTGTGGAACATAAGCAGCCAACTTTGCGATAATTAACAGTTTAAGAACTGGGGTGTTCGATAGACTTACCTCCACGTGGTGCACACTGGGCAACGTATACTCATACGGCAAAAGAGCCTTTAAACCGGCATTTGACTTCTGACTTTTAACTACCATGACCCGACTGTGTGTCCTATTCGACCTCTTCCATAGTACTCATCTTACCTTTTCCCTACCTTTGTGTCTGTCTGTCTGTCTCTCTTACATCCGTGAATCACTCTTTGTCCCTCCTTTCGAATTTTTCTCACTTTGATGTTTCACCCCTCTGTGAAGCCCCAAGTCAGCTAAAGGGTTAATGATAACTATTAAAACACCTGCCATTTGAAATGAATAAATAAAGTTTAGGAATTGGCATAATATTAAATGAATTTATTCATTCACTTCCAAAAGGCCTAATATTTTTGAACTGACAGTTGGCTTTTCTTTCAGACAGAGCTAACTGATAAATGTGGCAAAGCATACCATGGCAGCCAGAGTGGACTTACGCCTCTTCACTTTGCCGCTGTTATGGAAGGTGATACGGGTGTTGAAATGACTCGAATTCTTCTCGAAAGTGAAGCCGATCCGAATATAAGAGCTGACCCCGACGAGAGTTTTTATGTCCCCTTTGAGGTAAACAGACATTAATATAAAAATGTTATTTATTTTTGGCATCATTTTACAATCTTCAAATTTTGTTTGTCAACTAATAAATCGTATCTCTAAGGGTGGCGAGGGGAGGCAGTGTTTGAACCCTGCCTAATATTTATTCAATTTCGAATGTCCCCATCCCTTTGATGCCTGAGTTGGCCAATAATATGGCAGATACGAAAATATAAAATTAAAAACGCTTTGGGTAATGAAAATGAACATTTTTAAGATTGTTGCCTAGTCGTCTTTAAACCTAGCCCCAATAGAATAGAACGTGCTCGAATGTTTGGCGCTACGAAAATTTAACTTACACAACAATCTGATTATAAATCTTTGATGTTTAATCCAAAAAATCCACATTTAAGCCTCTCATTTTCTCAGACTATTACAGAAATTTAATAATCCGGACTCTGTATAACTAGAACATTGACAAAACAGTACGAAGTGTAATTTATTAAAGAAAGTGACAATTAAAAGTCTTACTTAAAATCCTTAGGAAGACTTAGGGAAGGAACAATAAGTTTAATGAGTGGAAGAAAGCACTTCATGGTACTAATCAGATTAAATGTCAACCAAATGACATAGTGGTATATTTTAGCAAAATTTTATGGGAAAAGGGGAAAGGTCCAAAATGGATCTTAATTTAAAGAATTTATTATCAATAAATTACCTCGAGCTCTTTTCAAGCAAGACGTCTAATATCTTTTAGAATTCGGAGATCCAGGTCATGAAATCAAAATATGACGGCGGCAGATTGGCTCTGCATTTGGCTTGCGCTAGAACCTACGACAAGAATGTAGTAAACTAAGTCTCTTGCCTCTACATCACAATTTTCATTTATTTAGGGCTCCCTGAAAATTGTCAAAATGCTGATGGATAGCGGTGCCGATCCAAATCTCCTTTGCAATGGACAGAGTGCTCTTAGTTTGTCTATTGTGACGGCGAATGAAGAGGTAAATAGACCGTAATGCAAAGTGATTATGAAATTTAAGATAATATTCAAAGCAATCTAAGTTTCTCCAATCTTGACGGATTTCTATTGCGCCTCTTTTTAATAGGCCACATTACTGCTATTGAATTATCCCAAAACGAAACCCGATCTGACATTAAGTAATGGCCTTGGCTCTCCTCTCTGCTTAATTTTGCACCCAATGTTCGAGCACATTCGAAGTCATGAGAACCGAATGCAACTTCTAAAGGTGCTTATTCACCGAACCCCTAGCGGGCTTATTGGTCACCAAGTTATCAGTCCAGATGGAATGACTGAAGGTACCAATTTTGAATTTTGAACTACACTCCTGTATATATTAAGTAATGAGATGCATTTTTTACTTCAGGAAATATTGTTGATTACATTTACTATTGCTATAAGAACAATGTTTGTCAAGACGAAAGCAATTATATTAGTAGAAAAATATGGAAGGAAAGACGAGAAACTCTAAAATTTCTTGCTAAAGAATTAAGAGAATCAGTATTCCAATCCGATGCGTGGAAACAGGCGAAGAGTTCGTTTTTGTAACTAATACGTAATGGTCGTGCCTTCGATTGCAAGCTGCTATTGTATTTTACGTTTTAGACTTAGCGCAAATGAATGAACTGCACGAATCGTAAGCCACGTGATATGCGCAACTTATTTATAAAATTGGAGTTAATTCTTTGCTATATATATTAAGCAGTCAACTACGCTTCTGTTTCCACTGTGGACGATCATGTGGATTGAAGTTATCCGAATGCAAACGCTGTCGCCTTGTTTACTTCTGTTCTGAATCTTGTCGAAAAACAGGTTGGCTTGAATGGCATGGAAAACAATGCCTGGATATTATAAGTCAGTTACCAGTATTTTTTCAATATATAACAGACCATTTTTACTTCCTCGCACAAAATTTATCCATTTCTCGACTTGGCAAACCCTAATAGGCATTATAATTAATAATATTTTAAGAAGATATGATTAAGGTAAACGAAGGACTTCACGTCAGTGATTTTGAATAACTTTACTCGATCAGCTACCGTATCCATAAGGCTGTTCAAACTCCATTTGAATAGCAAAGCTAAAGGGGTCAATTACGCATTTCAAAGATTTATGGTTTAAGTATCGATTGATAGTAAGTGGTCTTATATAATATCTCCTTTTATTCATATCAGAAAATAAGAAACCAAGGCAGAAGCTCGTCCGGAACAAAGTATGAAAAGATTTTACTAAACTATATGTAATTCCTTTTTAATATTTCACAATTTTAATCTAAACACAATTTTGCTCTTTGCATACCGAATTCCTTAGAAGATGGACAAATTCATCATCCCTTGGAATAGTGGTACTCACCCTGGAGAACATTATGATTTATTCAAAGGGCAACTTTATATTAGAAAAGAAATTATAATGGCACTCGAATGCGATCCACCCAATAAAGATGAACATTCTCATTTGGCATAAGTCTTAATGCTAACACAGCACTTTAAATATCCTCAATAAATAACAGAAACATGATTCTTAGTCTTTTATTCCTGAAGTTCATATTATGATGGAGGTTCAGATCTCCTGTATTTGATGCTTTCAATCCGTTTAAGATTTGGCATGGCCTTAAACATTTTTGAAGTGGTAAGGCTGCATATCGGAATTAATTTATTGGCCTTTAGGTCCTGTACTTAGTAAACAGGAAATAATAAAACATGATCTGCATGACGTTTATTGAAGGAAGAATTTTGGAGTGTGAATCAGTAATAATAACTATTGCAAGACTTAAATTAAAAAACTAATCAATTAAACTTCCAGCTATCTCGAATTTATTCCCAAAATCTCTGCCCGATAAGACGTCACCTGTCAACCCAATTTAGTTGCTTCCTTTTTTGGCAAGAAATGGAATTTTTTGCTTTTCAGCTTCTTGCAAAATATGTGAAACAGGAGGATTTGTCTATAGTTCCGCAGAAAGAAAACTATGCCATTGCTATTATAATTGAAATAACGATTATGCCTTTGTTTCTTAATACGAATTAGTATAATTTACGCTGTATCTTGTAAGCAAGGTGTTCGAAAAATCAGGTGCATACGTTTTTGTTGTGCTGAAGACTTTCAAACACGCTACGGCCCCTTTAAAAGCTTAGTCGCTTCTCTCATATACGCGATAACAGCGAGAATGGTTGAGCGTAACCCACTTGAATCGGGAAGAATGTCATGTGTTAAGTTGAAATGTGCCCCGCGTCAAAACACGGAGATTGTAATAACTTCTCAATGTCTCTTCAACAATGAGGGAGAAATACATCGAGGATTGAAGAACTGCAATGCCAACTACGTAGTTGCCATATCTAAGGGAAGCAATACAACAGACGATCTGATCTGACTGCATTCGCATAGGAACTTTTAAGATTGCAGTTGGTTTGGCTTGTATAGAGTTCATGGGACACACATCGACACATGCTTCTCAATTCCAAAAAATTGTCCTAGTTTTGGGGATGTGTATTCTCTCGAAGGTGATGTGGTATTTTGTTAAGGAGAGCTGAGGTAGAAATCAGATACCTTTTTGAAGTTCTGGCATACGAGATTTTCGAAGTATTTGCAATATTTATGAAGGTGGAGAGATCTGATCACTTATTGTTCCTCAGGGAGAAGTCTGAAATATATATATTAACCAATTCCCCCAATGTTTGGCCTCACAAAATCTAAATCAAAACCAGATGAATGGTTGCATATGTGCTGGAGTCTGTTGAGGAAGAAATTGACCACTTGCCGGTACCACAAAACCGAAACGATAATTAGCAGTAGTAAAGTCATGTCAAAAAAATTGCCTCTAAGTTCCTGCTATCGGGGCCTATTTGAGACGTGATTTGCTCTAATTAGGTTTGGGAAAAAAAACCACTGGCAACAATATCATTTCACCGACCAATGGATTTGTTTTGATTCAACTCTGTATTACAATTACTAAATGAAAGAAGTTTAAGCTAAAATATTGAGGTTCTGTGCTTTCTGGAATATCCACTTGTCGTTCTTAAAAGTGTCTATATTTGATTAATGGTTTGCAAACGGATTTCAACATTTAAGTTCTAAATTTCAAATTCCTAAAACTGTGCCATTTTCCTTGAATTTCCATTATTCTTTATAAATGCAGGAATAATTTGATTTTAAATCCACCAGATTATTAATTCTGCTTACATGTCAAAACTATTTAAAAGTACAATCAAGGGCAGTTTATATGTTTGTTAGAAAATTAACAGGCGTTTTGATGGTTATCATTAGGCCTTTAGTTGACCTCAGGTTCACAGAGGGGGAGAAACATCAAAGTGAAAAAGAGTCGAGAGAGGGGGGGGGACAGAAGAGTGTTTCAAAGACGAAGGTAGAAAAGGTAGAAAAAAGGTGAGGTGAGTACTGTGAAAGTAGTCGAATATGACATACAATGGGGTGATGGTAGTTTGAAGTGAGAAGTCAACTTCCGGTTTATAGACTTTTTTGCCGTATGAGCATACGTTGTCCATGGTGCACCACGTGGAGGTAAGTCTATCGCCCATCCCTTAACTTGTAATATTACTTAAAGCATATGATATCCTTGTAGCACATTGCTACGCTAGTAAAGTCCGACTGACTCAGAAATCTCTGTGGCAGATTCTCCTACATCTCCCTAGACTCCCAGAACTAGCTAAGCTACAGTCCAGCTATAAAGGAAACAGACGTATAGTACGGATCGCGTTTATTCAGTAGGGTTATTGTAATTAAAAGTGTTCCGTGCTATAGGTCTGTTTTCTCTATAACTGGGCTGTAGCATAGCTAGTTCTAGAAGTCTTGCCAGATATAGGAGAATCTGCCACAGAGATTTCTGACTCAGTCAGACTTTACTAGCGTAGCAATCCTCTACGTCCTCTAAAGCATCGTAACCGTGAGTTTACAAGAGTGCCATATATGACGATATTAAACAACGGTTAATGGTGCCCACGATTTACTATATTGAATACCCTAATTAAATGCAAAATCAAATACCTGAAGACAAAAAGTTTCCTTGTA